GGTATGTCGAAAAATGTTCTCGGACAGAGATGCTGTCAGTCAGATTTTGTACTGCGGGCCTTTTTCCGAGTACTGTAGTACTTCTTTCTGCCGCTAATACCGACGTGAGGCGCTGTGAGAGGAGGAGGAGGAGGAGGAAACGCTTGTCCCCATGAAGAAGTTCGAGACGGAACTCTCTCCCCCTCCATCATCTCCTTCAGCCTTCGAGTACATCTTCCAAAAGTATGTTAAACTTCATTTTATTACACTTATATAAGCCTTAAACCTACTTATATAAGCCTTAAACATACATTCCATACAAATATAGCACTGAAGCAACTTACGTAAGAATTCAGCCAGCGAACGATCCTTCGGAACGTATCTCGTTCGTTACCTGGGGAGCGTCTGTATTGTGCTCCTGAATTGATGTTGCTGAACTGAATGTGAATTTATTATCATTTATTGATTTGTTTAATTTTGTTTTCAGAATGGTGAAATGGTTCAAACGGTGCATTCATTAGATTTGAAAATAAATCAATAAATAAATAAATTAATTAATTAATTATTACATGTGAATTTTTGTTTTATGTTGTATTGTTGTGTTTAGGTTCTCTTCTGTTACAGTTTAAAAATCTATGTTGATAGTTATTCTTCGCTGTGAGTGTTACTATATTTCTTTCTTTTGTTCTTTAATGTTAATCAGGTTTCAATTTAATACAGAAGTATATTTCTAACAATTCTACAGGCAAATAACAATTATCGCGGCAGAGTGTTTCTTTTTCTTTTTATTAAACAAAAAAAGAAAAAGAGGGGGAATTATAGTTAGCGCATAAAATAATTGGAAAATAATTGGGTAACAATTGAAGAGCTACTTTTACTCATGACTATGGTTCTGTTCACAGCAGAGGATATTTGAGATTCCATCTACATTAGTGCAATTGGAGTTCCTTGTGGCGTACTAGGTGGGTATAAATTGGTTAACCAAAGTGGATCAACTGCCTCCACTACAGTGTCCAGAAGCTTGCAAATTATACTGAGGAAGCTGTTTTGGCTGTTAGAAGTAAAACAATTGACAGTCACCTCTCTGATGATGTTCCGGGACCGCACAGCGGTGGATGTGCTCTTGGCTGAGGCCAATGGAGCGTGTGCGATGTGTAGTGAGCAGTGTTGTTCAACCACGCCCTGAGGGCCCCGCACACTGAACCGGACCATTCCGGCGTGACCACGACCTTATCGTCAGAATTAGTGGGAAAGACCTTTGTGATGTTTAAAAACGAAAATGGTGTGTTAACCTCTCGTACATTTTTTCCCCTGGCTATCTTGACAGTGTGTGGATGTTGCTGACTTTCCTGTATCTAGGCTCTGCTTATCCGGTTTATCACTCTGATTGGTACGCCCACGACGTCTAAAGTGAATGGAATGTACCCTCTGCTGTTACTTTTGGATGGTAAAGGTTCTGATATAGAAAACATCGGCTAATGGAGACATGATTTCACTTCAATATCGAAATGTCGTAAATGATTTCTAACGATCTTTTCCTGCATCTTTTCTTGATTATTTTAAAACTGGTGATAACCTATTTTTTCCAGCTCCTGAGGATAACTATGACATGACTCCACTGTATAAAGTTTGACAGGAAGGTTCTACGTGACGATATGAGCAAATGTAGTAGAAACAAGGGAAATGTTAGGTTGATTGTGTTTAGTTATCATACATTTGCATATTATTAATGATGAATTGATCATGCTTGCAAAGAAGAATGCTTATGCCTATAATTATTAATTGATTATGCTGCAAAGAAGAAGCTTTTAATAGAGATATGGTTATGCAAAAAGAAAAAAGATATGATTTTTCTTTATTGGGCTAATTATTGCACACACATCCACCTTGGGCTGAGCGATCCCACCACCTGACAAGGACCAAAAAACCAAATCTACTGATCCAGCCCCAGCTGCCCCCTATTGGTGACACCATTCAACAGAGGTTGATTTCACGGTATACGGGCAAAATAACCCCAGTGAAAATCAACCTGGGACCAGGTAGTCTACCCTAAGGTCCTGAAGAAA